AGAAACGTATAATTTTCTTTTTCGAAGTTGAAGGAAGAAGGTGTGAAAGTGAACATACGTAGTTGAAGGTGATATCCACCGAAAAAATGGATCCCAACCCAACTACAAATGTTGTGGTAAGGGACGAAAGGATGGACTTAATCGATGCTACTTGTGGTGATGCTTGGGCATTGGTAACGGGTAAAAAAAGAAATTTTCCAGTGTCCATAAAAGGTGAAAAAGAACTGGAGGAGGCTGTGGAAACATTCACCGAAAATATTCAACAAGCTGCTTGGACATCATCAATACCAAAATTCAACTCTGCGACAACTTAACACTTGACGAAATATCCTCAGTACATAAGGGACTTAATCAGTATTAATGAGTACTTTCCTTCCCCATGCCTGTCATGTCATTATATCATTATCGCCATCACATTTGCTGATTGTAAACTTATTGTTGACAGGCGCAAATACATATTTTATAGACAAAAAAAAAATTCATTTGTAATAAGTAAGCTTTATTTTATTATTGCATAATTAATACATAACATAGATGTTTATTTGTATTAATTTTTTGTTTGGAATTTCTTCAATTTAAATTAATTCATCTATTATTAAACAGAATCTTTTACTTTTTATGTAATTCAGGTTTTATTTAAAATCATTTTGTAAGAAATTGAATATCTAGTATGTACCAATAACTTAAAAAAAACAAAACAACATTGATATGATGGCAAATAGGAATATTTTTACCTTTATTGCTGTGAAAAAAAGTATGCATTTTACTATTTATCTGATTCATGTACAAAAAATTATCTATTGAACTATTAAAGAAAAGTAAAAGAAAACTATTCAATAAAAAAAGGTTTTACGAAAAGAAATATATAGAACGGTAAAGAACATTAATAATAATAAAACCGTTACAGCAAACCAGGCAACATTGCGTGTGGAGCTAGATCTAGCCCAGTTATTAAATATTTTCCTATTCAAAGCGAATCAAGAAAAATAAATACTACAATTAAAATTTGAAATTGAGAATTTACTTCAAATTATAGAGGAAAGTTTTCGTCAAACCTGCTATTTTTCAAAATCTTTATTCATCTGTAAAATAATTACTTAACTCTGCACGATTTGATAATTATAAAAAAGTAAAGGACGTACGTAGGTGAAATTGGTTAAAACAATATAAATAAACACAAAATAAGGATCGACATTGTAGGCATGAGGAAGGATAGTACTCAGCAGTACCTTTTCCTGGTCATTATTTATTTCCTTGACTTACGTGAGGAGATCTCTCATCCAGCCCCTTTTTAGTCTCCTAAATTTCAGTTGTTTATAAATTTGTTTGTGTGTCCGTGTAGTTTGACATGAAAACGTATGTATTGGTCTGTAGTTGGATGTCGTAAATCGTTATGTAAAATTTTGTTGTTGACGTACCAGGGGGCTCCTGTTATAAGTCGTAAAAATTTGGATTGAAATTACTGTAGTTTTTGTCTGTGCGTTTTTTTTTTTTGCCGAAACGTAAGTCTGAGAGGCGTATATTGATATGAGTACAGTATTTTCAGGCACACGTTAAAATACTGTCGTTTCATTTTATAGGAAAGAATCAAATTCTTCAGAACAACACAGTTCGTTACCTTGGACTAATATTCGACAAAAGGATGACCTGGGGCCCACGCATCCTTGAATTAATCCTTAAACTTGATATAATTTTGAAAAATCTTTTCTTATTGTAATATTACCTTAAATGTTAGCAAATTCAAAATTAACATAAATGTATCTTGGGTTTATTTGGTTTATTAAGTCAAATTAAAATTTCATAAAATTAAATCACTAAGTACTTCGATGAACTTTCTCTGCTTAACTAATTTTTGTTTGGATCATTATAATGCATGTACTATGATTTTGCTTCAATAAATAAAGTCAAATTTTAAAATTACTCCCTGGTACGTCAGTAACATTACTCTACATAAAGACTTACAGATGCCAACAGTTAACGACCACATACGAACATACTACAAACGATTTCATAATAACTTACACGGACATACAAACTCATTGATTCGAGGCATGGCCACAACTAACATGCCCGATAGCACCCGAAGGAGGCTTAAAAGAAGCTGGATGAGGGATCTCCTCCACTAATTAGAAATATTACGCTCAAGACAGGAAGGACGCCGCTGGGTACTCCTCTCCCTCACGCCTATTCCAAGACCAATCTCTTCATCTTGACATCACACTCGCTGATTGTCGGAACTTCTGACAGGTGTGAGTTGAAGAATCAAGTCAAAAAAAAAAAAAAAAAAAAAAAAAATTTTAAAATAAATAGATTTAAAAGTTTTTTACATCAAAAATGTACCTAATATTTTTTTTTCAATATAAAGATGATGTTTTTCAGTTAGCTCTAATTTCAATTCCTCCAAAAAAAAATTAATAAAAAGATAAAAGAGTTTTGTTTAATTTATCATTATATGAAGTTTATGAGGCAATATATCTATGCTATTAACTTTTGTCTAATTATCCAAAATCGCAACATTCCTTAAAAAAAAATTAAATAGATATTAAAAAATATGGATTAGGGATCAATCAAGAATGTAGGGAAGATGTACTACTATGTATTTTTCATCGTTACACTTCACACGACACAGATAATAGCAGATCTATTTTCAAACCTATTTTTACTTTTAAATTTATGTATTTAAAATATATACCTAAATATGTGTGTACTTAGTCAATCAGTAGCTCATATTGTTTCCATTCTTCTGCGAACTTTTTCTCTAATAGGAATAGTTATTTATTGTAATTTTAAAATAATGAAATTCCGTAAATATAAAATATAATTCATTATAGCAACACAATAAAATCAATTTTATATTTTTCACGAGCTTCCTTATCGATACGTGATAACCCTCCGAGGCGTTTGAAAAGAAGATGGCCACGTGATCTTCTAATTTATAAATTTAATTAGAACGTTACCAATGGATGGTTTCTCTATAAGTGTTCTCATCTCATTGTATTACTGTATATCACATATACTAGACGTATATCAGTTTTTATATAGTTGTAAATGTGAGAATAAATAAAAAATATATTTTTCTCGCTCTTTGACAGGAAAAATATTATATTTTTAAAATAACTGAAAGGCTGAAAATAATTTTTTAAAAAATCGTACTTGATGTATTGATTTATATTATGTATTCGAATTGGTTTTTTTTTTTATAATATTAATTTAGCATCTAACACAATAGATATTTATTCAGACCTTATTTTGTGGTAGTATATATATATTGTCTAATTTGTAATTATAATAATATTCATGACATGCTTTACCAATCAATTATGCTCGTTGGTTCCACACTGTTCAACCTACCAACGCCAATTTAATAGACAAAAATAAAATATGAAGTATAACCTATTTTTCTCTAATTTTTGTTGGAAAAGTAAGAAAAGTTAACCTAGTGTTTGTGGTACCTAGATCTAGCTATCGAAGATGTGAGAAACGTCTAAGAGAACCTACACAACTTATCACTCTTGATAAGACTGTACAAAGTAACCAGTCCCATCTCAATGCACTAATGATTGTTCTGATTGTTTGAAAATAGTCTTATATTATATTATATATGGATATCAATAATATTAATATCATACAATTTTAATATTTATACTTAATCATACATATATTTTTTTTTTTTTTACAAAATACACCGGAAGTCCGAAACGAAAACTTCGACGCTAGAAATATAATAAAATATCTTGGAATTGCCGTGTTTCCTCCTGACTTTATAAATTATTAATCTATACTTTTTTTTTTTTTACTTATGTACAAAATTCTCTTTGGTCCTCCGGATAAATTTAGCGTTTCTCTTTCTAATCTGATTTTGGAAAAGTTCATCAGTATCATGTTAGTCATAATTAATTAATCGCTTTGCGAATTGAGATAAAAACTTTCTACTGATTATCGTTGTATTCTTTCGTGATTAATGATCATATTAAATGAAAATTGTAAAAATTTAAATAATTTAAGCTGTGTTTTTTCACAATATATTTATTTGTTTAGCAAATCATATTTCCAAGGCGGTGTCGCCCATTACGCCAAATTCAAGCGAAAATAAATATACTTGATAAATTTACAATATTAAAAGTTAAAACTTAATCAAATAGTCATATTAATTATAAATTATATACATTATATAATTAATTATTTATTTTTGTAAGTATCCCAAATGTGATTAATTCAGTTGTCTAATAATATTTAAATATTGTATACATTTACCAGGCATATTTAGCAATATTTTACTGTGTTAAAATATAAACAAGATAGATCAAATTAAGTAGTTCTGAGTGATTATTATTTATTTATATAGTCCAAATAGTGCAACGTTATTACATATCAGTGTTTAAGGATTATTTAATGATGATGCAACGACCAAAACATTGAAAAATTGAAATTATTGAATGAATAAATATATGATGAAAAAACAACAGCCTAAATTATTTCAATACATACGAATATTTTATTTTATTTTTATTTTTATTGAACATATCGTTTAATTGAGATAATTGAACTTTAATAGACTTCTTGATTTTTTTCTTAATAAGATATTTAGTAGAAAGTGGCAAGGTATTATTATAATTCAGGCGTGTAAGGCAAGTCATAACCACCTGTAGAATGGGGCAACAGCTTGCAGGTAGGTTCATTGTGTATATTGGTTAATAAACATCAGGTGCAGTATTAATAAAATGTTTTTGAAAATACTGTGTAAAGTAGTACATATAGTATTTGCTTGACATATGATCAAGCGAGGACCCGAAAGAGTTGGAGAAATGTGAGTGTGGTCTCTTCGTTGATGGCTAAAATGTTCCCTTGCAAATAGAAATATATATATAGTCATAATGTTTTATTGTAAACCAAATTGTCCTTATTGAATATACTTCACAATAAACAAAGTCTCTTGTTGTCCACTCAAGCTATTCGAGGAAGCGGTCCTAGACGTGGACAGACCGCTTCCTCCGGAGATGCTAGATGGTCTCCATGGCGGCCTGCGGAAGAAGAGTGACGGAAGTGGAAGGCCTGGTGTTGGAGGAAGTCATGGTGGTGAAGCAGGTCACGCTGGTCCTCCGGTCGTGCCGAAGAGCCACGCTGTGCGCGGTCGAGAGTCTCCTCCTCGCTTCTCGGGCCTTCTCCACCCCGGTGTTGCCCAGGACGCGGAACTCTCTTCGGAAGTTGGTGTTGAGCCAGCCGTACATCAAGGGGTTGGTGACCGCCGTGCTCATCGCCGTGACGTGGCAGAGGGCGAAGACCAGGTAGAGGGTGGAGGTGGGCTTGATGAGGAACGGGTGGAACTCGAAGATAATGGTGAAGGCAGTCATCGGGAGCCAAGAGAGAGCGAAAACCACGGCGATGCAAGAGAGGATCATCATCGTCCTTCTATTCCGCCGCCACTCCCGCTTAGCTGCAACACATACAAAAAATAAACATTTCAATAATATTAAAGAATAGAAAAAAAATAATTTACAATTCTAATCGAAGAGAAGAATGGTTGGGGTGATAAAACAAAATAAAGAATAGCAAAAATAAAAGCAATATTTATTTTTACATTTGCCGACGCTTCGGCTCCAAGTTCAGGCCTTCATCATCAGACCTTTATCAGGACTGATCGAACCAAAGCCTTGGAGACATAGAGATATCGTCGAAATTATAATTCTAACCTATAAAATCAGAAAAAAAACGAAGGAAAATGAAGTTTTATAGTCACAAAAACTGGATGGACAAGGATAGATTGAACAAGCGGATAATTGACCAACTAAAAAAAAAAAAAAAAAAAAATATCTGGCAAAATAGGAGTTTCTCTAAAATATTAAAGAAAAAAAAAAGAAAAATTAGTCGTCGACAGGTGCAGATAAATATTGAAATATTAAAAAAATAATATATATATATATATATATATATATATGTATGAAAAGTATAAACCATCGTGTTACAATCTGCAATTTTTTTATTATTTGCTGATAATAAGTAAATAAATTATTTTTTTTTAAATGGAATACTAATGACAAAAGCTGAAAAATTTTCCAAGAGAAGAAAAGGACACCACGTGGCTGGCCCCGATGACACTAATAAAATATCCCGATAATTCGAAAAATCGAGGAACAATCCCTTAATCCCCCATCGAGGAGTATCCCTAGTCCTGAGGGAGGGAAGGGAGGAGGTAGGAGGAGAAGGGAGTCCCTTTGATTGTTTGAGGCTTAGCCATCATCTCGGTGTCCAGGCGAACCTCTCGATTCAGCGGGGACTATACAAGTCCTCTCGAAGAAGAAAACAACTCGCCAACTCAGCCCGTTTGGAGTATCAGGAAAGTTTTCTTCTTTTGTCATCTAAGAAATGGAATCCAGTATATTTCTTACTGAATTCCCCCCTCCCTTCTGAACTGGGAGAGAAAACAGAGGATTAAGTCTTAAGTTCGTTACTTATTAATAAAGTACAATTTCTTGATCAAAGGTTGTACGAATTGGTGAATCATCACTGCCAGGATTTTGTCACGCGAATATTAATTTAATTAAGTGAACTCATTTATGTTTGATACTGATATAAATTGATTGCTGACAAAACTATAAAAAACTATGTGCCAAAGCCAAATTTGAACCTGAAATCCGAAGCATAATATCACAATGCATTACTCACTGAGATATCATGCTTCCAATAGTAAACAAATAAGTTGGGTATGCATACCTGTGATGGACATAGATAAAGAAATTTTTATCTTTTTGTGCTTATACCGCCGTAATTATTATAGTTATTAACGTATCCGTTGGACATTTAGAATCTCAAGACTCTTCTTTTTCTATTTAGCACTTTAAAATTGAAAAAAATCAAATCTAAAAAACGCATTTTTGAACTATTGATGGACCTCCCGAAATTCTATTGTTCTAATAATGGACAGGAGGTCGGTACCAGTAATAGACATACCTCAGAAAAATTCTAAAACCATTATTTAACTCACTCAGCAAAAACGAATCACTTACAAAAACTACAATCCTTTCAATCTAAAATTTTAAGAATAATAACTGCAGCTCTCTGGTATGTCAACAACAAGACTTTACATACCGACCTAAGACAAACAACCATTGACCAGCACATACGTACTCTCTACTCCCGATTTCATCTTAAACTACACGGACATCACAACGGACTTATCAACCACATGGCCACGGCCGAAATGCTCATCAGGAGGCGACTGAAAAGGAGCTGGATGAGAGATCTCCTTTCCTGATTTTAGGATGTAAACAGACCAGTGAAGAGGTGCTGCTGGGCTCCATTCTTCGTCATGCCTACCATGCCATTTTCTACCGAAGAACAAATCTGCTAATTGTCACTACCATGACAGCTGCGGATGAAGAATTGAAGATTAAAAAAAAAACTATAAAAACAATGATAAAGATAAGATAACATAAATGATCAACTTACTCTTAGCAAAACTGTTAGTAAGAAGATATGAAACGTACTGATCTTAGGAGCACTATAGAAACAACAGTGATAAGAATTTAAAAATTTTCTTTTGGGAAATTTGTTCCTACAGTTATCAATTCAAAGCATTTTTTTTTTTCAATCTAAAAAAACTAGGACCTTTCAATCAACATAGAAGCTTATTACTTACGTTTAAAGTCCAACCTGTCCATCATTGGGTCTCCTGTACGTAACTGGTGCCTTCACTTTACTGAAATCCGTTCATTTTTAACTTAATCGAAATCTCCATAATCCAGAATAACGTAATCTCCAGTCGAGGTTTTCAAATGAATCCTGGTTTGAGGCGTTCAGAATGCTAAACCCGCAAGACAGTTAGGAGTTGGAAGTGGGGAATAGTGGTACCGCCGCAGGGGCTTCACAATACTCCAGGATTTAATGGAGAAGTGACCAACTTAAAAATCAAAACATAAAACCACGTACGAATAAAAATCTCAGAAAAAAATATGGTATGATTCAAAACTTGATTATTTTGACGCACAGTGGCTTGTCCATGTCTATCTAGAGAGACAAAAGTAAAAATATCGATAGTCAATTTTTTTTATGAAAAATGATATTAAACGTCTGTAATTGGAAACAGGAGAATCAGTCTAAAAAAAATACAAATAGTATAAATAAAATTGTGACAAACATCGAACATTGTGTACCAGTTTTATTAATAACAGATACAGGTTTTATTGCCAGAGTGAAAAATACATAAATGTGACCCCTTGCCGTTAAGATCTTTCTCCAAAAATATGGCTGTGCTACTTAGAAATAAGACTCCTTTAAATGTTAAAACTGAATTATTAGAAATTATGGAATTAGTTATAAGTAATATTTTTGAAATAAGTAGAAATTTGGAATAAAGATCGGTAATGTATTTTTTTATAACTCTAACTTTACTGAAACCTGTGAGAACTTCATTATATATATATATATATATATATATATATATATATATATATATATATATATATATATATATATATATATATATATATATATATATATATATATATCTACAGTTTCTAAAAGTTGTGAACTTTACATATATACCTCGCTAAATTCCGCAATATTTCATAAAAATCTGTTACATAATATTTTTCATTTTGATTAGGTAAGATGTGACTAATCTAAAATTCGTTTAATTAATCGAAAAGTAATTATTTAAACGATCCAGGGATATCGTGTTATCTTCTCTGAACATGTTCGAAATAAATTCAACGTTCAGAATAAATTTTTTAAATGTGTGCTAGGTCTTGAAGAGAATTTAACATTTTATGGAGCAGCACTGATGATAGCTGTGAGTTGGAGATATTTTCAGATTTTCTGTTATAATTCTTTCGTGAAGGTTTATTTTTTATCGATTTGGTATTGTATTACTTAGATTAATAAAGAAATACTAGCTTATTAATCTAAAAATTCTATATTTTTTAGAATTAAAAAAAAAATATTTTATAGTCTCAATAGCTCTATGGAGAATAGCTGTATGGTCACTTGGACACAGGTTAATGTAGAAATATTTTATATCATCAATAAAAAAAAAAAATTATTACTGTTTGTAAATTAGAGATAGTGTTGACCAAAATTGCACTTTGCAAGACCAAGACCGCCTCTATGTTGTAAGACCAAGACCAAGGATGTTAAAAAAAAAAACGATTCTTTAAATAAAAATTGAGGCAAAATAGTTCATAATACTTGACAATTTTAGTAACTATATGTAAAGAATTGATATAACTAATATACATTTGCATTTAACTCTTCTAATTTTTTATTTAGACTTAGTCAGGTTTCTCCTATCTAAAAAAAATACAGTGATATCTCTCTAGTAATAAGCTAATAGGTAACTGCAAGACTGTTACGAGAGTCTTGCGCAAGACCAAGACTGAGTTTCAATACCAAGTAAGACTCGTCTCGGTCTCGCATTTGGGCAACACTAGTTAGAGAACTACAAACCAAATCTCTTATAGACCAATCAAATACATCTTCAGCAACTACAATAATAATATATTGTATAAGTTCTGGGATAGATGTGTGTTATTGCCTGACTCAGAAATAAGAGGGATTTTCAATGGAGTAAGCTAATCACTTTATAATTTAAATCTCATTTATATAAAAGGACATTAAAATAAAGAATTATTTGAAGGACGGTGTAAAAATGTAATAAATTTACCCTTGATATTCAATTATATTGAACTCAAAAAATCAATCAAAACTTTAGGAAAATTAGTAGCTTCACTTTGAATGAATATTATCTAAAAATTAAGGGGCCAATAAGAAAGCATAGAACGGTCGACCAACAAAGACTGTTCCGTTCAGAGAACTTAAAGGTTACTTCTTACGATATTCAAAATTGTTTTCTAGACAGAAGTGCTGAATTTATTCTGAAGATTTATACTTTTTTTTTTTGTGAAATTTCCTACATATGAAGCTTTTAGAACTAAGTATTGAATTAAACATATTAATGGTAATTCTGACGATAAAGAACTAATAGTAAAATTATTACATATAGAAAGCAAATATGAACTCGATGATTTATTCTGGTATGTCGAAGATTGTTTAAAATTAAGGAAGCATTTTATGTTTATTCGAGAATGAATAGTTTTATCGTTAGGGTTAAGGTTAAGTTTATATGTAAATAATAATATAATGACTTAACATTATATTTTAATGTATTCAAGATGGTTTGTATAATTTATAATTGTATCAAACACAGTTGTTTGTTTTTAGTGGTTCTTACTATCAACGTGTTTGATTTGATTTCATAAATATAAACTCAACTCTCATTCGTATGGGTCCGGCCAAAAACAAATACAATTTATTTATAATTGGACAATTGGGATTTTGGAAAATGTTCTAGGAAATACATCCTGGACGTTCAGTTATGTCCGGTTTACCTTACATAATTCAATTGACAACTGACCCAGTTCTGTACCGACAGATCGCCAATGATAAACAGAAGTGGCAGGTGTCCTGGATGGACTGATATAATCGATTCGACGCGATCAAGACAGCTCCTGCGGCGAGTGAAATATCGAAGTGGCCATGGAAATCCAATTTATGATATAGGTAGTAGTATATAGGTACAGGATATAGGTAGGTAGCACCCAACGTGTTTCCTAATAAACGAAAGTGTGCTCCAATATACCACATGGCACTTACTGGAAGCTTTTCCCGATGTAAAATCCTCATGGTCGTGACAATGAGCAGATGTGTTGTTGTATTTAGTGTTTAATTGGTGTTTTGTTTAATGTATTATGTATCGACACGGAAATACTAAAATTGGAAAAATATTAAATAGAAGAAAATAACTACGTATTCTTTTATTTTAAGAAAAATATTTTATGTTCAAAATGTAATGTTTTACGTAAATTTGCTTATTTATATTTCTAAATTTGTGCCCAACCAAGAATAACCTTAAAATCACATTTTCCGGTTAAATTATTCTCAGTCTTTTGCAGTATTGCAGGTGAAGGCAAAGGCACCGGATATTGAATTTTTCGATTTATTTTACTATTTCTAATATATTTATTTTAAATACATTGTTAGCAAAATACTATCAGTCCTAAAAAAATAATGCAAATTTATATAAGAGTTGGGCATTTTCTCTTTATATATATATATATATATATATATATATATATATATATATAATATATATATATATATATATATATATATATATATATATGTATTTCGTTCAAAAGTATGGACAATCAGTGAGTTTGCTTTCTGTTTTTTATCTTATTATGGACAGTTTATTCAGCTGACATCAAAACCCATCCCAACACTGTCATCACCACATATGCTGATGACACATGTATCCTATCAGTTAATAACGATCCATCTATTGCATCCAAAACCCTTCAAT